CGCACTAACACACGGAAACGCCCAGAAGTATGCAGCAAAAAGTTTGGGATGCATCCTGCCGTCAGCTGATGCCTGGAATTCCGCAACAGTTGCAGTCGGAGCGTTTACGAGTATTTCGCCCCCTCTGGCCCACTTTGGTGACATGCCATTCTCGTTGGCATTAATTAATTATGTAAACAGCTTAAATGCAAGTTTATTTTATTTACACATGTTTCTGCTCGCTTGCCTGTTTCGAATGGGGTTTCGAATGGGGGGAATGTCATTTCAATAAACGCTTCCCTGAACTACGAATTCTGGTTGGCTCTGCAAACGTTCGCCGCAGTAACAATTCAGGTGGGGCAAGTGCTGAGTTTCCCTGGCTGTTGCAGCTGCAAATGTAGTCAATGCTGGGGCAGAACCCCTTCTTCAGCCAGCTTATCCTTCAAGGGTCTCGGAATCAGCTGCCTCACTTCCGATTTCCCAGCATTTCCGCAGCTGCACTTCCTTTTTCGCCTGCCTTCTGCTCGTTTTTCTCCGCTGGCAAAGCACAAGACTCGCTTTTGAAATTCTCCGATAGCTCTGCTCGAAAGCATGCCGAATCTGTCATCAGGCTTATAATGCACCGAACACCGAGGATATATCTTTTGTCATCTCCTAGGAAAACTGAAAGCTAGGGGAAACTGACAGCCGGAACGAGTTCATTGACATGGCAAACGCTGTATGGCAAACAAATTAATTTGCATAAACGAACGCAATTTGTTTGGCCTGCCAGTCCATAGAATTAATGTAATTTATGTGTTTATTTGTTTGGCTGGAGCGAAGTAAAGCATTAAATAGATGCGGTTTTTAATTAAGGGCATACACAGTTCCCGTCCCGAAAAGTTTGCCAGCCCATTTCCACGTTCTGTGGCTTTGTAAGCTGATCCTGCTGGCTGTTTTTGCGGTGAGCATCCCAGCCATCTGCCCCTCAGCCCATCCATCCCCCGTTCCTGCCCAAAAAACCCCCTCGAAAAAGCTACAAACTAACTCAATCCGTCTGCACACAATGCTAAAAGTGCGAATTGTAAATAGTTTCTGGCATCGGGCTGCCGCTTAGCTTAGCGATGGACTTTCTGCGAGTCCTGCAGGCACTAAGCAGGTATGGAGGATTAAGCTCGAGGATTTCTAAAAGGATATATACCCAGCACTGCAAAAAAACCAACTCAGAGGGTTTATTAAAATCCATGGAGCTAGTTGAGATAACATATACTTGTTTAAAAGCAAATGGTTTCGTTTCAATAATTGAAGTATTTCTAAAAGCAAAAGCTTTTGCTCAGTTTAAATAACCATGCCAGCATAAATAACTGATATATTATATCTAAAGATCTAATATGCTAAAGAAAGTTGCACATTTACGATTTTAGTCGTTTTTATACAGCGTGCACTTGAAGCTCTCCTATTGAGTAATTCCCAGCTGAGCTGCAGTTTCTTTCCCCCAAGATTTATGCCTGCGTTTCGGGGCAAGAAGTCTCCGCCTGCGAAACACGACCCGTTGCCATCGCTATATCCTGCCACTCCCCCTAACTCCCCCTAACCCCTCCCAATCCCCCCTCACATCCTTCAGCTATGCATGCAGTGCCTTCGAAGTGCCTTTTTATTTGAGAGCGCGAGCGGCTTTAGTTTGTTGCCTTTCAGCCGCGCTATTCTGCCTTTCTGCCATTTTGCAAGAGTTCTATGTGAGTGTGAGTCCTGCGGGGGATTCCCCCACTTGCCACTGTATGTGTGTATGTGTGTGTGGGTGGGTGGATGGGGATTGGTGGTAAATTATTTGCAGTCACTTGGGCAGGTTGTTTGAGCGGAGGAGAAAGGCTGCGCCTTCCAGGCCACTTGAAGCCATCGCGAACCCGCCAACAACTGACATTTTGGTCGTCCTGGCTTTGCGGTTGCGATTGTGATGCTGTTGTCATCATTACTGTCGTCGACTTGGAACCACCCACCACCTCCCCTCGGGAAAAGGCATCCCCCTTCCCCCTTTGGCGCTGCCATTTGCGGTTTGATTTCTCGGCCTAGCCCACAACCATTATTTCGCTCGCTTTGAGGCAAGTTTGCGCCCTGGGTTTGTGTAAATTAATTAGCGACTCAGCTCGCAGTAAATTCCTTAAAGTGTTAGACAACGAACGCATTATGACACGAGCCCCAATTTCCAGCTCCAAAATGCTCTCTAGTTGCCTGCTCAAAGGCCTTAATTAACTTTCGAGCATTTGCTGTGTGGAAATTGTTGAGTAATTCCCCCAGCACCCCAGTAGTGTGTGTGTGTGTGTGTGTGTGGCTGCACTTTCCGGGGGATTTTCGTGTCTGACACGCACATTGCACATTTTCGGCAAATTAAATTCTCCACTCTCAAATTGCCCCGAACTTCAAATTGAAAGTTGATTAGCAACACCCCTCGCACGCCGTGGATTTGATCTCGTTCGGAAATTAAATTAGGTTGCCAAGGAAGAAGAGCGGCTGTTGTTTATTTACCCCCATTTCTACCCAATTTCAATGGATTGCCCCGTGCATTTGCATATATCAGCAAGCCGTTCATTGGATTCCCAGACTGGGCAATATAAATCGGCTTTGACCCAATTTTTTGTGCAGGGCCGCAGTGCGAGCAAACAATTCATTAATTGTGGAGTGCGAACGGGAGTGGAAAAACCCCGAGGCGGTCATGATTGATTGTGAAATTGCGAAAGTACGGAGGGAGCTCCCTTTCTCGAATCCAGATGGGTGATATATGTGGTGGTGTGACCTATCTGGCAATCGAGCCGCCAGACGTCGACCTTCAGCAAATGACACACAGGAATCGTCATCCACAATGGGCTTAAAAGCGATTGGAAGTGATTAAGTGGGGTTTCCGAGCATAAAGAACATAAAAGTGTTTACCTAACCACAGATCTGATGCATTTTTAAACAATTTTCATTATTCCTATGCTGAAACATAATAAATAGACACAATAAAGTAAAGCTCTATTAAAAATTCAATTTCGCAATATTGATGCTGTTGAACATTGCAAAGACTGCATTCATTAGCTTAGTTGACTAATCCCTATAAAGCCACATATATTTTTGTATTCATTAAAGCGCGTAAAAGCATTAAATGAACTGTCACTTCCCGATGATTTATATTGAGAATATCTGATAAATAGTGGCCTAAATAGGCATAAATTAACTTGTTTAAATAAATGTGGATTTAATGTTATGTATGCTTAGTGATATTTATGGGAAATATTGCACCCCGTCCGATAAACACTGAATTAGTGTTACTTCTGTTCGAAAGTGTTGTTATTTGTGTTGCATAAATATTTGATATTCATAAAAGTGATTTCCCTGCCGTTTGCATTCACGATTTCTATTGTCAAACACTTGACGACACATTGGCAATAGTATTTGGGGCGGAAGTCGTTTGCCCTCCCTAATATTCGAATACTTTGGGTAGTTTACCGCCTGAGGAATGTCTGTCCTTCAGTGGGGAAAGTGGGTGGTGGGGTGGTTGGGTGGCCGAACGGGAGGATTGCCGGGGGGAACAACTTTTTGACAATTGATGTGAGCAAATACTTATAGATAGACCCGCAGATAAACTTGCCTTCCACCACTTCGAGGCAGACAAATTGCAATGGAGGATAAGGACGCGGAGGAAAGGGATAGGGGTGCGGAGGATTCGCAGGATACGGATACGGATACGGACAGACCAAGAGGACCGCCATCGATACGACGCATTCGCACGGCTCTCGCAGTCAATTTCCTTACATTTTCCCTGCTTTTTTATTATTTCCTCTCGTGTTTTTTTTCGCAAACTAAGGTAAATTCAATTGAATCGAGCAGGAAAGCGGCTCTGATCGGAGGGGTAGGTGGAGGGGACAGGATGCAGGATGAAGACAGAGCATGCCACAATAGCGCTTAATTTTCAGCGCTGCAACAAGCGGCTGACAGGGTTTTTCCTTCCGAGGGGGCGGCCATAAATAATGTCGAGTGGGGGGCGGGGACGGAGGCGGGGGTGGGTGGGGGTGTGGCAATCCCCTTTCACGTGTGTGTGCGCCTGTCTACGTCTCGAGTTAACAAGACTTTTCGCTTTTACTCAAACTCGCAGGCTAACACAATTTTCAAAGCTTTTGTCTTGGCACGACTTTACTGGGGTATCGGCGAAATCAGATATGCACTGTGACAAAATATTCGATTACTTGCAAGCGAACAAAGTCTGTCACTTAGGGTGCTTATTAAAAATTTCCCACCAAAAAAATGAATTTTTTCTTGCAGATAACTTACTTAGGAAGCTTTAAATGTGGATCAGAATAGTTACACCTTTTGAAGCTATCATTGTTTATTAAGGGATCAGTAAACAACAGACAAATTACCAATAAAAAATGTTTGTTTTGGCCAAAAATTTTTATAAAATTGCTTGTAAAATCCAGTTTTTTAGAAATATCTCAGGAAGTAGTATTCCAAATGTGGAATGGCTCACATCGTTGAATTCGTAATGAAATTTCGAATCGACTGGTATTCACGCCTAAAAATGTTGAAATTTGAGCATTTTTTGAAAAAAATGATTATGTTACCCCTTACGAAAAATGCGAAAAATGGCCATAAATCATTTTTTCTTTAATCGTCCAAAAAGTTATAGGTGTTGTTAACCTTGGTCATAAGGTGCTTAAAACAGTATTTGGTTCCGCTGTAAGTCACTTTTTGGCCTTATTACAACCGAAAAACCACTCAGAATGTAGTGTTTTTTTTTACCGAATTGGTATTTTAAGAAGAGTAGCTTATTTTGTTCTCAGTGTGAATACATAGATTCGGGGCTCGGAGATTGGCTCACGGCGGAGTTGAATCAACGCCGAGGCGAGGCAAATGCGAAGCCATTTCCGTGACCCGTGGGATGTGTGATGTGGGATGTGCGATGTCGGTGAAAAAGTGGGTGTGGAATGTAGCCATGTGAGATGTCTAACGTGTGCACCCTTTCCCCTTCCCCCTTCTATTCCCGTTCCCATTCCCATTCGCATACTCACCGGCCTTGCAGGGATCCATGTCAATGTCTCCGGATACCTTTGGTGTCACATGCAGGCGCATCAGCTGCTCGATGGTGTATTTGCTGCGGTAAGGTCGTCGCAGTCGCCGGATGGTGCCCAGATACGCGTCGAATTGTTGCCGATGGTGGAGGTGGTGGTGCCTCAGACCCTCCTCCTCCTCGTCCACCTCCATCTCCTCCGCATCCCGCTTCCCGCTGACATCCTGCTCGACGGGATCCGATAACCTTTGCAGGTGGACGCCGCCATCCGCGGAATTCTCGCGCCTGTGGCCATTTTCGGCTGCCACGCGATCCGCGGACGCAGGTAGTCCGCGATGTGGCCTCGGGTTCTTGGCACTCACCGAGATGAGCACCACCAGGAGTCCGGTGGCCAGCAGTAGGACGCAGTTCATCCAGCTGACGCCCAGGGGCGTGCCACGCCTCCTACGCATCGCAGTGGACTCGAATTCCAAATGCCTCGCCTTTTAATTAAAACCTTTATGCTCTTTTGTTTTTTTGCTCAGTTCACTTTACGTTTCGTGACCAACGTAACTTTATATTTGGTTGTGCCTATCAATTTGCTAGTAATTGTTCTTCTGCATTTTCGATTAGCACGTGCCGTACCTGCAATTGAAATAAAACGAGTTAAACCAAAGCGCAGAAGCGAGTGATTAGATTGTACGTCATGTGTTCGAATCGGCTTCATTCAGGTTTGCACCAGACTTGCTGGAATTATTTGCACTGACTCAGTTCGCTTTCCATCGCACTTGTTTTGCCTCCCAAGCTCTCTTTGAACCCCCGATAACCCTTTGTCCCATAAAATCGTACTGAACTTGCACTTGACAATCAGTTGTTGTTCCCCGACCATGAAAAATTTGCCAACAGATTGCATTGGGAAAGGTAGAACGTTCTATAGTTATTTATTTATATTTTTTTTTAAACGAAAGTATATGCTATACATCACATCATATCAATCATAGAAAAATAATAGTGATGAACCTTCGTAAGACAGCACTTTTAATAAATCAAGTATTTCCATATATTTTTAAAAATATGGTGCTAAAAACAGATGATCTTGTACTTTTTTTAGTTGTTAGTCTGGAGGTCTGTGTTCCCAAGCCCCCCTGAACCGGTGATAACCCTTCGGAATGACCGGCACACTCGGCGATAAAGCTCTATTGATTTGTTGTTGTGCGGCCATGAATTATTTGTATTTTTTAGCGGAAATAAACGGCGCACTTTCACACACATCGCTGGGTAAATGGTAAATACAGAGCTGAAATGGGCGAGGATTAAATTGCGAAAATGCAGATCAAACGGCAGCCGTAGCATCACCATTCTCCATTCTCGATTCTCCGGGGGAAAGCAATTTACTTATGCATTTCCAATCGGGGTTATCTTGGAAAGCCGGCTTTCATTTGCAATTTGAATACGTTCTCCGGCTGGGAAATGTCAACCGAGCGGATGCATTTGCTAATTCGGAGCTCCACAACTGAGGCTCCGATGCAATCGATGCAGTAGAGTTCCTCATCAATATTGGGATGCTGTATAGCAGAAAATATCTCCCGACAGGCGGCAGGCAGATAATATCAATCTGTGCACACCCGGCGACTTATTTACATACGAAACATGAACATCTGCGCCTCGGGCGATCATAAAAACTTGGCCAGTCGAGCCAAAGACAAAGGAGGTGTAAAAGTCGACAGATGGGCGGGAAATATATAGAGAATAGGGAGAATAGGGAGGGAAGTCGGTTTAGGGGAAATGCTTGGGCAGTAAATCCATAAAACCGGGCCAGGTAAGTGCGCCGCCTCCAACTTAGCACTCAATTAAATCCGAGGGAGAAGCCGAAGGCGATGAAGAAGGCGCAGGCACCTCGACAATGTACAATAACAGGTAATTAAAAATCGCTTAGCTGCGACCCAGGAACCCAGGCAATTCACAAAACCTTTTCAATTAACTTGAATGTTTGGCCAGGACCATTGTCATCAGGCCGCTGCTGCTTTTGTTGCTGCTGATTTTCTTCAGCAATTGTGGCAATTTCATTAAATCATTTCATTTCCGGCCCCCCGCAAACACACACAAACACCACCGAAGAGCGAAACAAATCAAGGACTCGCTTGGCTTTTTATGGCAAATTAAGTTGCCTTTTGTGCGGTGATGGTGGTAATGTTGCCGCTGCTGTGGCAATGCCACCCAAACAGCCAAACAGGCAACTAGCAAATAAAGCCAAACGCCGCACAGACAATTCAACGGCGAACAGAACGCCGTGGACAGAAGTTGAGTTCAGTTCTCGCAGAACGGCAAAAGGAGAGTGCAACATATTTTCTTAATTTCATTTCGTTTAATTTCACTCGGCGAACGTAGCAAAGGCAGCAAGGGGAGCAAAAGGAGCAGCGGGAGCTGCTTCGAGGGGGAAACCACCGCATCAGCAGCCATTTCCATAATCCACGCTCGCATAATTACGTATACGCCGCATGGGACCAACGGCAAGGACGAGAATGATGATGATGACGGCGCTTTTCCTGCTCCTGCTGCTCCTGCTGCTGCTGCCTTCTCATTTAAGTGAAATTAAAAATTCAATTGATAAATTCCAAACTAAATAAGCGCTGGCAGATGAGGAGAAAAGTTACTTGAAATGTACGCCCCGCGTAAGCTCCTGATTTTTTCTCAGGCTCCTTTGTTGCCACGTCTGGGCCAGCAAATTCGAAAACCGTTGAAAAGTATGTTAATTGGCTAAAGCAAGAGCTGCCTCGTACTTTAGCCACTTTTCTCATTATGATTTTCATGCCAGCCTTCCTCCATTCATTTACCATACTTCCTCTTAAAGACCTTCTACAAAATGCGTTGTTATCGCACCCACATGGAAATTTAAAGGTGCATTCTTATCAGGCTTGTGGGTCAATTGCCACTGCGATTGGGCGGCGTAAACAAATGCGAACTGTAGTACGTAATAGCTGACAAATAAACAAGTGATCCGGAGTGCTCTTTGGATCCGCTGGAGTGGAGGTACTCGACTCGCTTTCGATTCGCACTCGAGAGCTTTTGGATGTCATTTTCAAATGGCACGCGCCATTTACTTTTAGTTTAATTAGATGCGATAAGAGTGCCGGCAAGCAGATATCCTTCGCTCCTGGCAACTGGCTCTCGACTGCTGGCTCCTTGCTGCTGGCTCCTTGCTCTCCGCTCAAAGCCATCAATCAGGCTTGTCAAGTGCTCGCAACTTCCCAACTACAAGAGCTGACAATGACAAGCGTCAAGTGGCCGGGGAATCCTTGTTTTCCACTCTGGGCGGGGTTCCATTTCCCAGTTTCTGATTTGCAGCAGCAGCAGGACTAGACTCGCCCCCTGCCGTTTTTAGTGTTTTACAAGAGCAAATCCTGACAGGATACGAAGCTGCGGAGCTCTTTGTTTGCCTAATTTTGATTTTCTCCGTTTGACAGTTGACATTCGCAGTTGCGAACTACCCGAAGTGAAAGATATGAATTGAAATGGCTTTCGAATACGCAAGGAAGCATTTGAGCAAGGACCTCGCTGAATTGAAGTTCAGCAGCGTGGCTGTGGCAAACGAGTTGTTTAGCGCGTTAACCCGCCACTTGGCGACTTTTCGCAATTTCGCATTTTCGGGTTGGGACATTTTCACTGCCTTGGCAAGGACATCGAAATGCAGTCCACACTGGCGAGGCCAGGGCAGCGTGACTTGGCTAACAAGTGGGCGGAGGAGTCTCAATTTGGAAACAACTTAATTTCAATTACTGACGCAAAGCCCGGGACATGGACAGTCGAAATGCTATAATGAATCGAGGCGGGGGCTGCGGAGAGTGGGAATCTCCGCCTGCTGCTGCTGCTGCTGCTGCTGCGGCCGACTTTTATGCGATTTAAAATGCTCCACAAGCGCAAAATGCAGCCAGGCGGCTGAACTAACAGCAGGCAGGCAAACAAACAGACAAGCAGGCAGGCAGGACATTCGTGGTGGAGGGGAAGAGGAAGCCTCTGGCAGGACGACAGCCAGAACCGAAACCAGAACGAATCCGAAGCCAACGGCAAATAATTAAACTTGGCTGCCAGGCACCTGTGGCCCTTGTACGCCAGGTCAGGCCATGGCCAAGAGCTCCTCCTCCTGCTGCTCCTGCTGCTCCTGCTGCTCCTCCTGCACATCCTGCATCCCAGGATCCCAGGATCCTTGTATCCCTGTATCCAGTATCCTGTATCCTGCAACTGTGGCCCGGCACAAACGCAATGAGTGGGTGGCGCAGGGGGAGTCCTGATTATTTAGCAGCTCGGCATGTGAATGTAAATAAAGTTCAGCCATAAAATACCCGCAGACAGATACAGAGGCCAGGCGGCCGCCACCCTTTCTTTTTTGGGGTCATAATCTGCAACAGAAGCAGCAGGACGATGCAAATAACCACTGGCTGGGCGGAGGACCTCACAGCTCACAGCTCTCAGCTCAGAGCGAAGGATCTGCGATTTATTTATAAACTTGCCTGGCTGCCAGCACCGGCACTAAAGTTAAGAAATAATTAATACTAACAACGACGAATGACGAGCGTCCTGTGGCCAGGGAATTTGCCGCCCGACACGGCCCATTGGCGCCATGGGATGCCCACCTTTGCATCTCATCTCGTCCTGCGGAAGGACTCCTCCTCCCCTTTGCGCGCCCCCTGTGTTGTTTCGGGTCATGAATAACAATTGCCGGGGCAACAGGGAAACTGGGGAAACAGCAGCAGCGAGGCGGCTGCAGAAATATGGCGGCAAAGATTTCTTTTTATGGTGATTGCGTGGGAAAACGCCTGCCAGCCGGGCGATAAAATATGAAAAGAATAAAACGTAAAACAGCCTCGCCAGTGCAAATATGAAAGGCGAGCGAAATCCTTTTAATTTGGCAAATAAAAAAAAACGAGAAAGAAACGGAGGAAGGCCGCTGAACAAATTTCCGTGAAAGCTCTGCGTCGAGGAAAACTGGCGACTTAACTTTTGGCATGTAAATGCGTGCAAGTGAAAACGATCCGAGAAGCTGATGGAAAACGGAAAAGTTTTCGGCCAACTACAAAGTGCCGAAACCGCGGCCAAGGCAATCGAAGCCATTGAAACTAGAGAACTGTAGATTGAGGGCAATCTGTAAGCCATCCAAAACATTCGGAGCACTTTAAATGGGCCAATTAAGAGGGGATAATAATAACCAGAAGAAATATGACAAAAAGTGGCATTGCACATAAATTAGTCTGGCTGCGCGGCGGCTAAGTGAAATATAAAATCTGCTTAGACTTAAATTAATTGCACTCGGGGAGGGGGATGAAGAAAGAGGGGGCGGGGCCACAGGAATGACAGGACTCAGCCATCTGGAAGTGGAGGCACTCACCCACACGCTCGCAGACAAACAAGCACTTGCGACATATCATTAACTTTGCTTTATAGCAACCAAAATTGGGAAGCAACTTTGGGGTCGGAGGAAAAAAACTCAAAGCTTTGGGTGGCGTGGCAAAAGATGAAGTGAAAATACAGAAGAAATAACTCGTGGAGTTTGCGATGCGGCTGGGGTGACACTTTCTATAAGGAGGTGGCAAGGAGGTGGTGGAGCTGGCTTCAAGGACCCGGAGGATGTGGATGCGACGGCTGCTTGTTAGCAGAAAGGCGTCAGCTGTAGTGCCTACATGCGGAAAAATACTTGTATTTTTTCGAGGGGGAAATTCACTGAGATACATGGGATAAAGTAACTAATAACAAATTATGAAAAACTAGAATACAATGTTTAAAAACATTTATTTTCAATATATTTTCAGTGTTTTTAAATTAAATTCTTAAATTTATAATTTATAAATGTTAATATTTTTCTTTTAGGAATACCTATTTCAATGTAATTAAATTCCTGAAAAGATTTGCTGCTGTGGACACAGGACCCTTGTCGAAAAATCCCGAAATTCATGGCAGCAGAAGCAGCAGCATAAGCAGATACAAGACACTCCCTAATATCCATAAAATAACTCAAATCTCTTTGGCAGATTGCCGCCTTGCCCGTTCGGCAGGTAAATTTGGGGTTTAATAATACCTGTGGTCTATCCGACGTCAAGTGCAGCTATCAACCTTCGGGCTGCCCACTCCTCGGGCTTAATTCGCTTTTAATTTTTGCCCTGCTGCGACAGCAAAAATGCTGAAAAATTCCCCATTGCCATGGCGAAAAAAAGAAACCGAGCGGAGGAACAGGACCGAAAATACAGGAGAAATTTGTTAAGCACGCGCTATCAGTCTGAAGTGCGTGTTTCGAGGATGAGAAGGCGGGTGGCGCAAAAGGAAATGGAAGAGGCGTCCTGGGAAAGGGAATCCAAATGAATTCTATTCAAAGCGCTGCTGCTGCCACAAAATATGAAATGAAATGTTGTCGCCGGGGAGAGAGGCAAAGAGAAAGAGGGGACTGTCCAGGAGGAGAAATGTTGTTAAGAAATGCATACGCGGGCAATTTTTATTCCTTGCCGTCGCAGTCTCAGTCGTCCTGCGAAAGCAAGGGCAGATCCTGCTGCTTAAACACGAAATACGAAATGCTTAATGGCCAAGTTGCCACAAAACGTTTGCCAGACGAGGGCCAACTCAGTGGAGCAAAAATGAAATGCGTTTTCTGGCTCCCAAGGACCACGGACCAAGGACCTTTCTCCCTGTCTGTGCGTGTGTTCGTGTGCGTGTGTGTGGGTGTGCTTATTGGAGCGTAAGCAACCTGGGCAACAATATCAATATGCGTCTTTTGTGCCAGAGCTTCCTCCGCTGACAATTGTCCGCCGCCGGAAGTTGATATTCTGGCAAGCGGAAGTGTTAGGGGAAAAACCCCCCGCCACCCCCCTTTTACCCCACCTCTTGCCAGCCGAAAATCATATTTTCCATTTCATTTTGCTGCCTTTCTCCACGCATAAATTTCCATCAGCAGCCGGCAGCCAGCAGCCAGCAGCCAGCGATTCAGACAAACAAAGTGCGCAGCATATGAAAAAGTGAAAAAGTTACCAAGACAAAAGGCAGCCAAAGCCAATTAAGGCTAATGCCTGCCTGCGGACCCTTTGGGCTTACCTTTAACTGCCGTCGAAGAAGGAGGATCGTTGGTCAGAAAAAAATCAAATACGCTGAGAAGGAATGCAGCTGAGGAATTAAATGGCCAGACAAGATGAGTTGGGTCCGCGGAATCGAGTTCGTTGCCACCGGGCAGGAATTCCCTTCTATTTCGCGGCTTTTCGTGGGCACCTTGACTCTCAATGGTTCCGTATTGCCAATAAAACACACATCAGACACAAAGCGAAATCAGAAAAGATTCTATTTTAATTATGCCGGCGGCCTTTAGATTGCCAATTGACGAGAGATCTGCTCTGCGATTTACTGTTCACTTGTTTTTGTTTTTCCCCCCGTTTGTCAGTTTGCTGGTTTGTTTGTTTTTGTGCGGGACGAAAAGCGGAAAAGTGGAAACCGCACGGCGGAGATAGTAGCGTGAGCGTAAGACGCAGAACACCCACAAATCAAGCGACGCTGGTGGTGCCGAAAGTGCGGAGGAGCCGGGGGAATTGTCAGTGGTGCACACACCGCGTGCCGTTTTTTATTTATAGCCATTCAACGCTGCGCTTCTATCAGCAACAGCAATGAAACGGCAGCAACATTCACGCAGCAGCAGCAGCAGTGGCAGCAGCAGCAACATGAACGACAGCAACATCAACGACGGGACGACGGGACGGCAGCAACCTCAACAAAAACAGCGTGTTTTTGTATTGTCGTCGGGCAGGGGAAACCAGAGAAATTAATAATAATAACGCAAAACCAAAGATCAGGGTAGAAACTGATAACGTTCTTAATGCACACACAGTGATCATAATCGGATTTCAATAGAAAGTGAGCAATACGCGCACAAAGTTAGTGATTAGCAGAGCTAAAACCCTTGATTCACTTGTTGAATAGTTCGATGGAATAACTCTCAGCATTTGCAGGTAGAAATCCTGGTTTGCCAACCCAAAAAACACTCACTTCACAGGCCGTTAAATTTATCCTTGTGCCCTTTGCGGATGTTTACGTTTGGCCATTTGATTCAAACAAGTTTGTTGCCAATATTCTTTTGTTTCGCGGTGCCGATTCCGATTTTACTGCGAAAGCACGTCCGTCCACGACCGAAGTTACTCGCGATTTGAGAACATAAACAGAGCAGCCAGACGCAGCCAGCCGAACTGATTCCATCGAGAGCATGCGCCGAGAACAACTGAGGCAAGATGCCCAACAGGCGGCAGCGTTTGAACCGCCGACGAGCAAAAACAAAGGCAAAGACTTTGAGGGGGGCAGTGTCCTTTGCAAGATCAAAGATCTTTCGAAAAAAACGTAAAAAACAGTTCTCACTCAAAACGTTTCTTATGATAAGAAGGAATTGATACACATAAAATACTCCAAATTATCAATTAAATCATTTCGTTGTTTAATTATTAATTGATTTTAAAAGAAGAATATTTTTAAAGAAGAAGATTGTAACAAACGATACAATTAAAAAGATTTTTAAAGAAGAAACCATATTTTTTATTCGATACGGAACTAATAAAGTTCTTATCAAAAGTAATAACATATTTGAAATTAAAGGCCGTTACAAACGGCGGCTTACAGCACTGGCACCAGTGTTGCCAGGTGATGAGCGGCCGTATAGCTAGATTTTTGAAAAACATAAGCTAGAATAAGCTTAAATTTAAAAAAAAAAGTTCTAAAAAACAAGCTACACTGAAATTAGAGAAATCATGAAACCTTATTATGTTTTTATGTGGGAGGCAAAAGTCATTGGGGCAATATTTTTGATTACGTCTTCAAATTTCCGTTTCGAAAGTTTCCGAAGGAAAAAACATGAATTTAAAGGTGATTGTTGATGAATTGATAATAGTTTTTGTATGTGTGAACAAAAATCTTATTATTAAAGCTTTACGTATAAATGTGTTCTTAAAGTTTGCAATTAAATTAAATTAGTTAATAATTCATCGATTTCGTCATCTTGATCGACATTTAAAAATTTTTCATTTTTTTTATAAGCATGATGTACTTTTTCTATATTTATCACTTTCGGCATTTTAGCAAACGCTTTTTTTAATTTTACACCTCCAAATTATTGGTGGAAACACTTCGCACGATCAAGACAGCTGATTTTGTTGGTCAAATCGCTATGTTTTTAGATTTCAAACACCAAGCAAACATAATCCACAGCTAGCAACAGATGCCTAAAAGTGACCAGTAGAAAATCTGCAGAAATACACCAGGCAAACATAATCCACAGCTAGCAACAGATGCATAAGAGTGACAACATTTATTAACGGGGCTTATGGCTGGTAGAAAATTTGATCATTCTGAATCGCCAAGTGCCCAGTAGAAAATCTGCTCATTTGGAATCGCCAAATGCCCAGTAGAAAATCTGCTCAACAGAAACCAAAGAAACTTTTCGGGGACCTCCTTCTGAATAGTTATGATCGCCTGATGCTTAAATTTTGATTCCACACTTCGCGCGATCGAGACAGCTGATTTTGTTCGTCAAATCGCTATGTTTTTAGATTTCAAACACCAGGCAAACATAATCCACAGCTAGCAACAGATGCCTAAAAGTGACCAGTAGAAAATCTGCAGAAAAACACCAGGCAAACATAATCCACAGCTAGCAACAGATGCATAAGAGTGACAACATTTATTAACGGGGCTTATGGCTGGTAGAAAATTTGATCATTCTGAATCGCCAAGTGCCCAGTAGAAAATCTGCTCATTTGGAATCGCCAAATGCCCAGTAGAAAATCTGCTCAACAGAAACCAAAGAAACTTTTCGGCGACCACCTTCTGAATAGTTATGATCGCCTGATGCTTAAATTTTGATTCCACACTTCGCGCGATCGAGACAGCTGATTTTGTTCGTCAAATCGCTATGTTTTTAGATTTCAAACACCAGGCAAACATAATCCACAGCTAGCAACAGATGCCTAAAAGTGACCAGTAGAAAATCTGCAGAAAAACACCAGGCAAACATAATCCACAGCTAGCAACAGATGCATAAGAGTGACAACATTTATTAACGGGGCTAATGGCTGGCACCAACGTTAAATTGATAACTTCAGGGCTACATACTGGTATTTTAAACCGGTCTAGAGCTATCGATAGTGTCATCGATGGTTTGACAGCTCTAGTCAGACTATTTTTGGCAAGAAAATTTTCCTTGTTTTATTTGAATAGAATAAAATGACTCAAAAGTGCGAGACCACCAACTGCGGCAAGGAAGCGACACTGCAGTGTCCCACGTGCCTGAAACTGGGCATCAAGGGATCCTTCTTCTGCTCGCAGCCGTGCTTCAAGGGTTTTTGGAAGGAGCACAAGGCGATCCATGCTTTGGCAGGTCAGTTTTAGAAAGTCTCCGTACATAACAAGATCTACTGCTGACATGTGGAAACTATTTAACCTAGCTGGGGCCTCGAACTCATCTGGACAGGATGGTGCTTACAACCCTTGGCCGCATTTCCGTTTCACCGGCAAGCTGCGGCCCTACCCACAGACTCCTAAGCGGACCGTTCCGGAGCTAATCCAACGACCGGATTACGCCGATCACCCCGCTGGACGTTCCCTCTCGGAGGAGGCACTCCGCGGAACAAAGATCAAGGTGCTGGACGACGAGGAAATAGAGGGGATGCGAGTGGCCGGAAGACTTGGACGAGAATGTCTGGATGAGGGCGCCAAGGCCGTGGAGGTGGGCACGACCACCGACGAACTGGACCGCCTAGTCCACGAGGCCGCCATTGAACGGGAGTGCTATCCCTCACCCCTAAACTACTACAACTTTCCCAAATCCTGCTGCACCTCAGTCAACGAGGTGATCTGCCATGGCATCCCCGACCAGCGACCTCTGCAGGATGGAGATCTCTGCAATATCGATGTAACCGTCTATCATCGCGGCTTCCATGGGGATCTTAACGAGACATTCTTCGTGGGCAATGTCGCGGAGAAGCATAAGAAACTGGTGCAGGTCACCCACGAGGCGTTAAGCAAAGCCATTGAGTTCGTGCGTCCTGGGGAGAAGTATCGCGACATCGGCAACGTTATCCAGAAGTATGTCGCCCCTCATGGATTCAGTGTGGTGCGCAGCTATTGCGGCCACGGCATTCACCGTGTTTTCCACACCGCGCCTAATGTGCCTCACTATGCCAGTAAGTTGTAGGGATACTTTGAATACTTGCAGACTTATAAATAACCTCGCTTTGCAGAAAACTCAGCTGTGGGAGTGATGGCCGTTGGCCACTGCTTCACCATCGAGCCCATGATCTCCATTGGCGTCCAGAAGGCTGAAACCTGGCCAGATGACTGGACAGCAGTTACCGCAGATGGTCTGTACTCCGCCCAGTTCGAGCAGACGCTCCTGGTCAACGAAACCGGATGCGAGATCCTTACGAAACGTCGTGAGAACAACGGACAACCCTGGTTCATGGACAAGATGTAAAGCGATCAACTTGGGCTTATACATGACTTCTAGGGCTAATCCATCAAGCTTTAATTTGTAATTTTACAATAAAATCTAGAGTTTCTATTCCCAAGTCCGGTGCGGTTGGGTTATTATTGTGTTCACTTTTCCAGGGGAGCATAATTAAGCAGTTTCTCGATAAGATCCACGTGTCCCAAGAGCATGCGACGGCAGCAGTACCTCTTCAGACCCAAAGCATCCAGGGCATCTCTGGGCGCGGAGAAATATAATAAAGAACATGTTAAAATGCGGTCTCAGCTCGGCATATCACGCGTGACTTACCCTTCTGTGTATTCCGCCTGTAGAAGGCCCAAATACGACTCCCACTTGTTGCCGATAACCTTTCCGCAGGTAAAACAACGAATTGGAATAATCATCTTGTGTACAAGGCAATTATTTTCAAAAAATTACGAAGATTGTGTAAACCACAAACAAATTCGGCTACAATGTGTTTTGCTCGGTCTCAGTGTGACCAAAGTGAATTGGGCTGAAATCCTTTACCGCCAATATAATATCGATATATCGCTTAAAAACGATTATGAAAAAAGTAACGAATATTTGAATAAATTAATGATTATTTTTATTAAACTACCGACTGCTCGCTATATGAATGCGTTTTTACAAATGAGTGTGTAAATAAATAAATTTGAACAGCGTCGAAGACTAAATGTGCGTTAACTAATTACTGCTGGCCGTGAGATGCTCGCCGGCCACTTCAACGGAGGTGGAGACCTCGAACAAATCTTTGGCTGACTCCTCGCTGTTGCTCTCGATCAGATCCGTGCTGGACACGTCCTGCACGGTACCCTTCTTCACGTCATCGGAGCGTTTTTGCAGCCGCTATTTAATAAATTCAAATTTTGTATTTGTTAGCTTATATGTTATTTATAACTTACCGATTCGGAAGTCTCTTCGTCAGGCACAAAGATGCGAAGCGGCGTGTTGGCGCCCAATTGCTGTTGCACCAGTCGCTGGTGCTCCTCAAAAGCAGTGGCTGCTGGATCCCGAGCAGCCTGCTGCTGCTGCACCTGTTGCTGCGGGTGGTGTTGCACGGGCTGCTGCAACTGCTGTTGTTGCTGCTGCAACTGCAAAAGCTGCAACTGCTGCTGTCGATGTTGCTGCTGCAAGTGTTGCTCCTGAGCCTGGGCCTGCAGCTCCTCGAATTGCTGCTGTTGCTGCTGCTGATATTGCGCCTGTGCCCTCAGCTCCTCCAGGTGCTGTTGGTGTTGCTGCTGTTGCTCCTGCGCCTGGGCCTTGAGTTCCTCGAGATGCAACTGCTGCTGCTTCTGCAGCTCAATGGCAGCATGTTCGGTTTCCAGTTGCTGACGACGTGCCTCCTCCTCTGCGTAAGCCTGCAGTAACTGCGAGGAGTCGTGAGCATGGCCATAGAAGTTGGACACAACGAATCCTCCCTCCGGAACGGAGGCAGTCACACCTGAGCCAACATTGGGCAGGTGGAAGGAGGCCGTCTCGTAGGCGCTCTCGGCTGGCTCACCCAAAGCGGGAGCAGCAATCAGAGCAGCATACTGAGGTGCAGAATCCAACACCGGATGGATGTTGTGGTGCGGATCCTTGGCCGCCTGCAGGATCTGCCCGTTGCTGGCCACCTCCTGGGTGAGATCGGCATTCACGTAGCCCGATTCCACCACCGGTTCCGAGCTCGGCTTGAAGAGTTGCTGCTTGTGCGCGGAGTACAGCTGATTGGATTGGGTCACCAGGTAGGTGGGATTGTAGATGGGAATGTGGGCAGCCGGAATGGCGGCAATGAAGGATTGCGAGTGCACCGCCGGCTGGGCGTACTGAATGGGATAGATCTCGGGAGCAGTTTGAGCTGCTGCCTGGGCTCCCACGATCTGAACCAGCGGCTGCGCCGGGAGATGATTGCTCTGGACATCGGCTGGCAGAGGCTTGTTGTTGCTGGGCGTATTGAATGGCTCGGTGGCCGGGCGAATCTTGGTGGTGGGCAGCGAGGGATCCGGATCTGGGGCAAAGAGTTTCTGCGAACCCGAAATGGGATCGCGGATGGTTTGGTCATTGGTCTCGTCCTCGTGCACACTGTACTTCGGCGGCAAGTATGTCTGTGGGCGGACGGAGGATGGGGGCGTGGTCTGGGAGGGGGCAGTGTACCGGTAGGAGGAGTCGAGGTGGCCCTCCTCCACGTCCAGGTGGTTGTTGGCCAGGTTCGGTGCGGGAACCGTGTAAATGGGTGCAAAGTGCTCGGTGTTGAAGTTGTTGTGCGTGTCCAGCTGTTAAGGATCGGTAGGTTTTCGGAGTTATGTTATATGTTTTATATGCTTGTGTTTGTATTGTGGGGCTTCTACTTATGGTTATCTTATATACAAAACTTACCGGCAGATTCTGGAGCTCACTGTAGCTCACAGCGGAGGGCGTCTCGTACTTGAAGGGCTTGTCGTATCCGAAGGTTGGCTTCGCCTTGGGCTTCACATTGTTCAGCTTGATCTTCAGGGGTTTTCTTAGTGCTCCTGCTGGCTTAAGGTAAACAGGAGATGGAGCGCCCAGCTTCATGGGACGAGGAGGACCCCGCAGATGCTGGTACTGATGCTGGGGCACATGGATCAAGGGATGCGAGTGGAGATGGGCGTGGGAGTGGGCGTGTGACAGGACATGCGGATGCACGGAGTGTGGATGAGCCAGGTGGGCGGCATGGGTGTGGGCGTGGCTGTGTCCTGGACGACCCTTTAGTACCAATGGAACCGGCTGATCGCTTCGGATTTGCACAACCAAAGTGCGCTGCTTTCCTGGACCTGCAGCACCGGCGGCGGCAGGACGACTCAGTTGTTTGCCACTTTTGGGCGGCCAGTTGGTGAAGACGAGCGGACGTTGCTCGCAGTTGGCCACCGCCAAAATCAGGGCGAGCAGCAGGAAAGGCTGGAGGGGCGGGGAAATGTCAAAGACCATTAAATCAAAAACTTAATTACGCGTACATCGAAAACAAAAAGCCGAAAGAAATAAAAAACTTTCTAAGCCCGACGAAGGCGCAAAAGGGGAGGGTCGTGTAATCGCTGGCCAGCAACAAAACTGTAATGGCCTTAATTTGAACAAATTGGCGGTTTTCTAAAATTTTATCACGTCGCCTGCCGCTGACTACTTAACCAAAGCTGCTTAAGCAAACGAGCCAACAAAGTATCTACGTATTTATATATGTATTTATATATGGTATGCCATAATACTTTGCCCATTTTCCCCGCTTCGATGGCTGATTAAACTTTCAGTCCGCAATGCCGTAGAATGAAAGTGAAAAGTCGAATATCGAAATGTCTTCGTTCTGTAATTGCCACTGTCAAGTTGTTTACGTTTTTGGACAGGGTATTATGGTTCGCTGACTCTGCTTGTGACACTTTCATTATGTCGTGTTTATTCGACTTTTGAAGCTGAAGAAGCTACTGAAGAAGTCAGGCAGAGTTGATGTGTTAATTGAAATGGATAGAGTAATTTAAACCTGTCATGCATCGTTTAGGGTTTTGACAGAAGTGAGCAATTACTGAAAGAATACCCTCCATTGTTATTTCTTAAAATGTTTAATTTTATAGATTCTATGTTCAGATAAGTCTTGTGTCAACTAGTTGGAAAGAGACATACTAGTTTAATATCTGACATAAATACTATATATATTTTAATCATCAGTTATTGTGCCACAAAGCTAAATAAATAAAATATAGACTCCCTAGACATATTATAATGTAATACAACTTTCCGATAAAAGAGGAGTATCTAACTATCTGCTTGGTTGATTTGTGTCTTAGTCATTCGAAGGGGAAGTTGGCGATTTGTGGCAGCAACTGGACATGGCAATTTCACCTGGGCAGCCCCGCCGAATCGGCGGCAATGACAATGACAATGCGGAGTGCCGTTAGCCAGACGTCAATCAGCAGGTGAAATGCCTAAGCGAGTCCAATACGTATGGTTATTGATTACGTGCTGCGTTTGCCTAAGCGGATTGCCGAAGAGCCAAAGATCGCAGTTGCAAGTGCAACTGCAACTGCCACTGCAGCGGTGCACCGCGGTGGGGAGCTGGGTAATTGCGACCAAATTGCTGGCTTATTGTTTATTGAGTGGTTAGTTAGTTTGTCGCCTCTACAATGTGCATAATCATATGCAAATGCCTGTGGTGCCGCCCCTGGTGAATGAACTGCCAGGAGACGGATGCAAAGTCTGGCAGGGAGTCGCCCGCGGCAGCGATTCGTTTGACGAAAGTCCGAGTGGAATTCGCATAATTTCGGGTTTCCTCTGGGCTTGGCCGAGACCGCAAGACGGAGAGACAGAAAAAACTGAGAGACCAATGAACTTGACAAAGGATTTTCCTAACGGCCTAAGCGGAACTATTGATCAGCGGCCTGTCACCGCGGCGAGCGGCCATAAACAACGGTGTGGTTAACCCAAATTGCAACTCGAAATGCAACTTTTATTTTAGCGGCAGGCATTTTATTTTCAAGCCCGCTGCACATTGAGGCAAATGCAGGCGAGCAGCGAGTGCAATTGGTGCACGTAAAGCCATCCATTGTCTGGATCTCGGCGAAACTTGGCGCATCAAGTGCTCCCATTGCAAATGAAAGTGCCTGCTTTGCCACCGGCCACCTAACAATTTGTCAAATATTCCGACGACTCCAATTCAATTGAAGATGCAACTGGCATTGTGTAGCTCTGATAATTGGATTTGCAGGTGAAGGTGAATCTCTGGATTCGAATTCGAATCTGACTTTAACTCTGGAAGTCGTTGATCGCCGAGCAAAAGAAATGCCAATGCCAATGCCAATGCATTTGCATTGAAATTGAAGCTAAAGCCAAAGCTGAAGCCAATCCATTATTTTTTATGTTGTGCGCAGTGAGAGACTTTTTAATAACCGCTAATTGTGGCCAACAAACCCGCGACTCTGCGTGCCTCACTTACCCTCATCTTGTTGGGATTTGTAAAGATTTTCGTTGTTTTTATTGCTGCTGCTGCTGCTGGTTGCTCTGGTCGGTAGAAAGCTCTGGGCAATTGTCGAGTGACTTTTGGCTTCTTCTGCTACTCGAGCAGCAAATAGATGAAGATCAAAATGGCAATTAGGTATATAATCACATCAATTAACTTCATGTCAGCGAGCGCCGCGGCGCTTTCTTCGGTTTGAGCTGCACGCACAGAAAGATCTAAGAAGGTTTGAGGGGTTTTGAGGAGCAGCACGTCTGCACCTGTTCAAGTCGCGTAGACAACTGAGTGTTACTCCGTCGACGGCGGCGGACAAAAACCATGTGCCGATCCACTGAAGTTCCACTGGAATGCCACAACGACGACGACGACGACGACGAATCGCATTGGAAGTGCGCAGCGCAAAGAAAGTGGTCGGATTTTCTCAACTCTTTGCCGCCAAGTGGCGCCGAAAAACTAGTTTGCAGCGGCCGAAACGCAGCACGCGACCAGCAGCCACATGAATAGCAGCAGCAAGTGGCCGATAATTCGCAACGAAAGTGTTTTGCCATTGACTGTTCTTGGCCTGCAAATGGAAAGAAAAGAAAAAAGAAAGAAAAAGGCTGGCGAGCAAACAAAAGACTTAGGCAGCGAACTTGTTGTCTCGCGTCAGCAGTCGCTCTTTACCTTAAAAAGCAATGCGGACCAGGCGCACATGAACAAGAGATGGCTCCACTGCTGCTGCCACCTGTTGCCATTGCTTTTTTGCCCCTGCCATCGGTTGAAGCACCAAACAGGAGCAAAGCCAACGATTGACATTACGAAATGCGGCTGGCACAGTGGAAATTACAGAAGTAGTTAAGCGGAACTAAGATTTATTGAGAACAAAGAGATAAGAAATAAACAATTAATTGCGAAATTCTTAACTTTGTTATTCAACCTCTTTAAAAAATGTTTTTTTTAAATATTTTAAAGAGTTTTAATCGGCTTAAAATCAGAAGTATGCCCAAATTTTATGCTGTACGTATCGTAGGAAAACACTCAATGATTTTTAAGCGTTTTTTAATGGTAATATGAACCAGTTGGTATGTGTCCCAAAAAACAAATGGATGCATTTTCCATAAGAAATAGACTCCCAAGAGTAGGCCCACTTTGGTTTGCTGGCCACTTGTTTTCATGTAGCCAAGGCCCTTTTGATGATAATGAGCCCTGCTTATGAAACGCTCCCTAGTTCACAATAATTGGTAGCGTTTTATGCAGGCCGCGATGCCCAATTTCTAAACGCAATTGGTCATTGGAATTTCATTGCGCCCAGCCGCCTTTTGTGGGTCAATATTCGTCGGCCCAAACTTTTGGGCCATAAATCAAAATTTCACTTTCATAAAGCTGCCAATTATTTTTGGTGGTAATTTCTTTACTATTTTTTTTCTGTATTTATATTTTATTTTGAAATATTATTTTTAACAAGGTTTTTTAAACATTAACAACATAATATTATTATTATACCTTTTATTTCATACATTTATCATTTGTTTTTTTTTTTTTTGTTTCGGTTGCGTTTTAGACAAATGTTTAAAATTTGCGTTTTTAGCTTTTTAATTTGTTATTTAAAATTGTATTTATTTGATGTTGCATTTGCCGTTTTTGGGGCGCTTTAAACTAAACTAGTTTGTCATTTAATGCTTTCTGCTCTGATCTCGGTTTAATTTAATTTAGTTTAATATAAATTAATGATTTTTATCGCTCTTTACTTTTTATTTATGTCTACGTTTACGTTTTCCGTTGTGTAAATATACCTCATATAAATAGCGAGTAAAAACTAAAAAAATGTAACTACAATAATATGATTTGCATTTTTTGGGCTTGCATTATTTATACAATTTATTTAGCACACATTGCCGGATGTGTATATGTGTGCGTGTGCGGGTATCATGTGAAAGTGCTGCGAAATTATAAAAAATATTTTTTTCGATTTTTCTTTGGTTTTTAGTTGCTATTTGTTATGTTAATTATGATACTTTTAAATATATCTTGATTCCTTAAAAAAATGAACATTCCGCCTGTTGCCTAAACCTGTAAAATTATCATATTAGTTTCGGTTTTCGTTTTGGTTTTTAGCTGCAAACGTTGATTCTATACAAAAAATCTAACTACAGTAAAATGCTGCATAGCTTCACATTTACGAGTATGATAATATATTTTTGTATTTTTTTGTGGCTTTTATTGACGAATTTTCTACAAAACCTTTGCACTTACACTAGTTTATACGGCATTGAGTAGTTTTATGCGACATTATCAATATATATGTATGTATATATATATTATTTTTTGTGAACAAAGCTGCTCTGAAGTGTTAAATTGGGCGAAGTGGAAAAGTAATCGAAATTCGGTTTCAATTGGAAATTCGAATGGAAAAGGCAGCTCTGTCAGCGTGTTTTCTTTGCTATATTTTTTGGATAATTTTTGTCTGTTTCAAAGAAGCTTTCTTTCGGATAGTTTCTGTTTTTTCGTGGTTGAATATTTACTTTACTTGCGTTCCATTGTAATTCAGTTATGCAGATCTGCTATAGCGTAAACATGATTTTATCAAGTTTCACAACATCGAGAGTTCATTTTGTTCTTGTTGTTGGGGTCATCGCTGTCGAGTGTGTGTGTGTGTGTAAGTTTCAGTGTGTTGTGGTGTGTAAGTGACGTTTCTATAAATTTAATAACTAGTTTATTCATTTAAAAATTATGTTTAACTTTTTGGGTTTCGCTACGCCACCGTCTCTACTCATCTTTCTCGCTTTATTTTAGGATTGCAAATGCGGTTTGTTGTCGATTTAATTATAAGTTTATCGTTAACAATATATGAACTGCTTGTCGCGATATCTAGTCGTCTTAAGTTAATGCTAAGCTATGCTATGCTCTCGATTCGTTAACATTTACACTTGACTATTTACGATTACGTTTACGTTACGTTTACGTTTACCTTTACCATAATCATTACCATTAACCATTAGTTTAAATGTACTTTAATGGAGCTTAAATGTTTCTCACATCGCACGGCTACATACACGTTTACATAAATCTCGAAGGCGCATAATATTCACATATTTTGTTTTAATTTACGTTCTGGGTAAGCCTAGGCTACACAAAATTCCACTACAAACCAAATACGAAACGAAATGGTAATTGGCTCTCTTTATTTTCGCTCTCACTTACAAAGTGTTATGTTATTCTTTGGGTTTTCGTATTAAATTTAAAAGCTCGAATTCGTTTTACTTAAATTTGTTATTCGCTAATCATTGGTGGAAACAAACAAACCCATCGGATGCTCTTCTGTGCCATTTTCTTGTTACGCTTCTGGTTTTTTATTCCCATTATTGAATTAATGCTGTCGGCTTTGGTTGATTTGATCTACATTTAATGTGATTTCTATACGCTTTGGCAGTGTTTATCATTTGAACAAATTGCATTATGACCCGAAAACTTGTTGAATTGTTGGCAAAACGAAACAGCACAGGATAAACGAGTGAAACGATAACGTATTCGAGATACTTGTAATATTTACAGGCTATGTACAAAAATCAGAGCGTTCCCCTTTTGGCGGTTCGAGCGCAAGTGCGTGAAGTCGGTAGAGAAGGTATAGAAGATATAGAAGGTAGAGAAGATATAGCCAGAAGTCGGAAGTTGTAAGGAAACGTAAAGATAACGTTTTCGCCACTTGGTTACCGATTGTATCTATCAAAATTTGTTTAGAACACCACAGTTGCTGCTCGTAAATCGCTGGTAAAAAGCGCACACATTGACATACACTAAAAAATATTACTAACTACGTTTCATCAGCTTTCGTCGCACTCTATATTCCGGCATAGGTGTCCTCTATATTAAGTGGTATCGAGTAATGATTTCAATGCGCTACTTACAATATTTTGTCGTGTTTTCGCAAGACTTTCTGCCTTGTGTTTGTGTAGAGATGTGAATGCAAGAAGTTTTCGATTTAGAATTAGCAAATTTGACTTGTGTCGAGTGAAAAAGCTGAGATTTCTCTAGTTAAGTGTAATTCTTTGCGTATGGCTTAGTATTTGGCTCGAAAGACCCTTTGCTGGGCCATCCTTGGCCGAAACAACCATGTTTCCTCCGGCTTTCATCGAAGATCAGATCAGATCGAGCCGTGTTTTTGCTTTAGGTGTACGAATTAGCTAGCAGATTGTTGGCTTTAAGGTGTCGTTAATCGATATTTGTGTTTAGTTTACTTTAAAAGTTTAATGATTACAATATGCTCTGCTCTATATAAATCGTTTTGCGCATGCTCAGAAACTTCTAAATGCAGTTTTTGAATTTTAGCCTCATTGCCTTGTATCTGTATCTCGGTATCTCTTTATCTGTATCTTTGTATCTTTGTATCTACATCTCAGCCAAAAGCAATCTCGCAATTCGGTTTTCAGTGTTTAATTCGTGTGGTCAATATAAATTGTTGCGTTGTGGCCGCATTCGGCGGCTTAGAGAAAGATTTTGAGACATGAGAGTACATAGATCGAGTAGACTTAGTTGTAGTTTTTTCTTGTAGTTCTTTCGCTCAGTGTAAACGAGCCTCCTTGCTTCCTTGTTTAATGTGTAGCTTACCTCACTAATGGTTCCCAATTGCTTACGTCACACCATTGAGATGGATTTTCGTTCAGAATTCAATTTTCAATTGTTTCTTATGCAATGATAGCGCCATGAAGTTAACTCAAAAAGTAATGGAAATTAGTGACAAACTGTGACTTAAATGCAAATGTAAATGTAAATGAATGTTGAATGCACTCATAAGTAAATACATACCCACAATAATAACTAATGATTGTTGCTTGAAGATAACTAAAATAGGGATAATCAGTAAAATATAAAATAAATCAAATAATAATCGTAGTTTATTGGGGCACAAGTCGATTACAAAATAATGGGGATAAAGAAGGATACAGATTAACCAATGTAGAGTAAGATTAAATTATAAGTATATAGAGAATATGATAATTTCAAGGTTCTAAAAAGGCATACGGAATGATGTGGGAAGCAATCAGTTGGCAGTTGAACGATGGATATCAGGGCCTGGATCTTGTATCCCCGATCTGAATCAGCTTTTTATGTGTGTGGAGACGGGCGGAGCTGCCGTCGACGTTGATCTGGTTGTCTCTGGTTCGGGATGTCTCTTGATTGTTGTTGCTTGGGATGGACAAATACACCTGTCCGCCCGCCTCCACACACATAAAAGTGCAGAGCAGCGCACCTGGTGGCCCGCAGGGTTTGTATCTCTAACTAGGTTACGCTTTTGATTTCACTTTTGTACACGGTACAATCGATTACATACAAATATGTCTTTTTTGCT